TTTTATAGAGTCTGTTGGTGCATTAGGTTGTGAAAGTTTTACACTGCCATACAATTACCTCTCCCATTCTTAATTTTCCTGAACGCCAGTCAATGTGAGGATTGTGGGTCTTCAGCTATGGAAACCCCAAAATAATCGGGTGCTGAGCCGACTCAAAAATATGAAATTGCATGCTCTCTGTTCACAGTAATTCACAGTATTCAGTATTCAGTATTCACAGTAATCTGAACGCGTTAACTTGACAGCCCTACTATAAACATAAACATTTTACATACAACATATTCCCATGAAGCCACAGCCTGTCGGACAATAACACTCACAGAAGATGCGTGAACCAGCCAGCGGGAAATACGAAGCACAGCCCATGGAGAGCAGACGTCCATTCATGAAACAACCCAAGCTACACGTGGAGCACACTCGGAAACAAACAAGTTTGTTCTCCGAGCAACAGGAACCGAATAAACCACTAGAAAGCAGCAGTACCAACCAACCACGACAAGGTGGTGCCAAAACAGCCAAGAAAACACATACACGACAGATATACACCAAAAACACACATCAAGGACAGAACAGTTTGCAATCAACGGGAGCATCAGCCCATATGCCGCAAATTGTTGTTTCTTACACGACCACTAGGGGTCGAAAACTTTAAAACGTGATTATGGGTCGTTATAAGCTACTTGAACAATTAACCTATTTGGTCGTTTTTCTTGTTTTGAAGGATATTCCCCTGCACTGAAAAAAACTGAAACATTGACTTTATGGACCATTTGGCATTGCATTATTCTAAACAGTGACGTCATTAAGTGGCTCCTCCCGGGCTCTGTTCAATAGAAAAGCAAACTGGTTATTAAGTGGTTCGCACCCAATTGTTGACCAAGCTATCCCTGGAACGGAACTCAACAGAAACAAGGTTTCACAATACAGCTCACAGGACATGATTATGTTTACACTATTCGTTACAATAGTTCCATATTTGATCTTAGTTTACAACTTAGTTCCTCATGTATTCACCGTGATATACTAAAGCAAATTTCTTGTATGTAAAAATATATATTTATACAGTCTATGGTAAAAACGTACCTAGCTCTAAGGATTCAACAGTTAATATTCCGACAGCTGTGCTCGATGTAAAACACTGAACACAATCTGCACACTGATGAAAATATTAAATGTGTCTCCACTTCTCAGTATTCAGTACATAAATGTTTTGGCAAAGGTTACATATTGCACTGAAGAACTTATTCTAAAGAGAAAAAATTGATAAAAAGATAATGTCTTCAGATGAATACGATTTTTTTTCTGTTTGCTAAGCCATGTTTTTTGAAAACGCCTCTGGCTGATATTTTGGCTCTTCCGTGACATAGTGACATCACTATTAAACACCGGCGCTTCTATTGGCTAGCTTTCTAACGTTGTACCTGATAGGCTAAGGGGCGGGACATCTGTAAGCAGTTGACCAATCACAACAGACCCGGCCAGCTAACCAATCAGAGCCGACTGGGCTCTGGTTTCAGACAGAGGGTGAAAAGAGGTGCTGCAGCACAGGCAGTATGAGAAAAAATATAGAGCTTTTTGAACATTAAAGCATGGAGACATGTCACAGTAGAGGCACTAAAAACAAATATGACCCTGAAAATTAGCAGAATAGGGCTCCTTTAAAAAAGAAAATCGTATTGTTTTCATCATATAATGTATAATGTGTTTCTTTATGTGCACTAGACACTGCATCCTAAAATCTCAAAGTGACCTTGTGCCAGTTATAAAAGTGCTGAGTAGATTGTTATTTTATTTAATAATATATTATATAACAGAACACTCAGCAGGTTTTTATTATCCAAATATGTGAAGGGCGTCATCATTATTCATTTATTCAGTTATTTAAATCTCCTCTTCCTCTCACTAAAGTCCAGAAAATCTCCTCATCTGTCTCCATGAAAAGACTGAGGACAGAAAAACACAAGTAAAAGGACATTTACTGCATTAAATACGATGTTAGAGTAGTTTAACTTGACGGTTTTCTGCTATTTTAATTTTTACTGCAACCGATTTATGATACAAAAAACATGTTTACAATGGGACATAGCTGTAGGAGATTTATTTAAAACATTTGCATATTTTATTAGCACTATTTTGTAATTATGCATTTAAATGTTTCAGAATATGTTTGTACGTTGATAAAATAATGTATCCTTTATGTTTCTTGAAAATCTAATGTTGAAAGTGTAAAAGTAATTAATAAATGAATGAATAATTATGTATTATTATGCATTAAAGTGCACCTATCATGCTATTTCAAGGCATATATTATGGGTCTCAGATATATAAAAATATATAAAAACATGTCTATGATGTGTTTTGCTCAACATACCAAACAGATCATGCATTTTAGACATCCCTCATACCCCTCTATTTCATACCCCTTTAAAAAGTGTATTTGAATGTTTACTTGTAGGTATTGTGTTGACAGGTATTATGGTGAACATCTTCCGTGTTGTTTTATCACTCTAATAAAATCTGGAGGATGTGACATTTTCAGTGCCCACTAAACCAGCAGCACCCTACAGATTCCTCTTGCCCAGGATTGACCAGGCACCTGTCAAGTTCTCTTTATCCCCGCTGCGCCCCAACCCACCCCTAATCTGCCAGATCGATGGCCCTGGGTGGACGTCACCTGGCAACCAAGGATGACACCAAAGTGCTCACAGTGTGCGCTATATACTGAACAATCAATCTGTCGCTCGGCGGCGATAGAAACGCTGTAAGAAATCATGTGGGAAAATACTTAAAGAATTGCAAGACAGGCAGAAGGGGGAGCTTGTTAAAGATAAATCAGTCTCCTAATCCTCCGTGAAGCACTGAGAGAATGTTCTCCCGTCAGCAGCATGATGAATGGATAGCAGGATGGTGTCATCATCAAGATGGGCACAGGCTGTGTCGCAGTGCCTGACTAGACCCTGTCTAATGAAGGTACACATTAGGTGCCACTGAATCACCCCCCCACCCCTCTCTTTTTGTTTTCCGGTTTATATGGTATAGATAGAGGAGCTCCTTGCATATTCATAGAAACTAGTTTAACATCCTTCTTTGAGGACAGACTGTCTTGTACTGAGAGTAAAAATGCAGAAGCGAAACAGATGCCTTTTTTTCACAAATAAATCCAAATCAGCCCAGATCTAGATGACTCATTAAAAACTCTTGTGTGCATTAGACTCTACTTTCCTTCTGATTATATTCATGAGATGCAAGTGTCTGCTCTTTTTCTCCATAAGCCACATGTCACAGGTTGCTTTTTGAGGTTTCAGATATACTGCGCTTTGGCTGCATCCTGTGGTGACCTTAGCATCCTCACAGGAACTCAAATGTCTATGTATAGCAACAGCACAGCCTTTTGATTGTGATTCTTGACACCCTCCATGGTTCTGACCGCCTTCTACATAACGGCACAGATTTGAAGTTTATTTCCTCCAATATACAGGCTATCACTCTCACTGCATGACTGATGATTGAAGCTTTACTTCCCTCTCTTTCGCTATCTTATCTTTCTTTGGCTTCATCCCTGGCTTCATGTGTGTGTAAGTGTGAGGCTGAGACAGCTTGTGTAGCCTGTAATTGAGTGTGTCCGCCCACCACGTTGCAGCAGCGACAGCGCAGGGGAAGGCTTCATTGTGTCAGGCACAATAGATACGTACACACACTCATCACAGCCCTCTCACACCGTGCCACAGAACCACAACACTGAAGAGCCATTAGCCGAGGCAGCAGCGTGCTATGTTGTGGATTCCGTGGCCTAACTTTGTCACTCGAGCATAACCTCAGTTTGTTGCAACAAACAAAAAGATCCTATTTCTCCACAAGAACCTAGCATTACCTGTATATATTATACTATATATATACTATGTATTTTGAGTTATGTGTTAGGGGCAGTAAGATGTGCTGATCATGGCTCTCTACTTTTTTTTTTTTTTCTGCAACACTTAAAGCCATCGTGTATTTGCTTATATGCCTTTAAGGGCTTGCATTGTGTTGTATACTGATAATAAATGAGGGTTTCCTGTTGATTGTGCTTGTGGCTTTCTATCAGTTTTTCGAACGAGCCACATTGAGCTCAAAGCACGCAGAACTGTCTACGCACTGTCATATTCTGCTATCAAAATGACGTTATTGTTACATTTGCATTGTTGCAACATGTTAACCATGGTTATCTCAGTGTATACATGTCAATTAGGCTGCAGGCATTGTGGAAGACAAATATAGTTAATAGTATCACTTAAACTGAAGCTGCCAGTCAATATTTTCGATTATTATTCATTTTAAAATTGATTATTTTCAACAAATGTGGAAGCAGGGCTGGGTTATATATTGATTTTATATAGATATTGGGAAATGACACTAGATGTCTTCATGGCACGTGTTTTGAGTACTGTCCAAAAGGTTTGTGTAGTTTTAATTATGAAAAAGTGTACTCATTTACAATTAATCACATATGTGTGGATTGATAAGTAAAATCTTATCTTAATGCTCCAAGTCCAAACTCTGCGAATATTATTCTGGTTGATTATTTGGTGTTTTTGTAATACCCTCCAAGTCCTGAAAAGCTGTTGGGTCAAATCCCTGCATAATATCAATCAGATAGTAGCATCAACAGGCATCCCCATTAAAAACAGCCCTACAGTAAATATAGTGTCAACATTCCCTGATTGCTTCACTCCCCACAGTGTGAAGCATTATGCAAAATATCTGACCACACAACTCTTTTTCAAATTGCTGCAACAGTCACTATGAATTTCAATTTCTCTCTCTTGACTCCATACAGCAATTAGTCTCTTTCGCATGCCTTTGATCCTTTCTCTTCACCTTCTTTTGTGTTCAGTAAGAAGCACGCGAGTCAAAGCAGAAACGGAGGGAAAAAACGAGGAAAGGAACGATGGAGTCCATATTGTCGGATCAGTCTGCTGCAGTGGATGATCTGGTGGAAGCGAGCATCCAAGCCTTCGGTTTGTCCTTTGAACACTATGTCTTAGAACAAAACGATATAATCCAAAGTTGTTCTAAATTCTATTGTCACTCACTTAAACAGTTATGTTTCATGTAAATTGTCTTATATTCTGTAGAAATGCATGTGAATAATGATGACCAGGCAACGACTGACTCAGATGAAATGCACACTAATTAATAGCAGGTGATGCTGCTCTGTGGGTATTGCTCCCTGATGATGAGTGACATGTTATTTTCTTCTTACAGATGAGAGAGGCACTTTGAAGGATGCCTCCATGGTGCGCATGTTTATCATGATGCACCCTTGGTATATCCCTTCAATCGACCTGGCCAAGAAGCTTGTGCTCAAGTATCCTTCACCTTTGTTTATGCTACGCTGAGATCTATAAGTGATTATCTAGACATATCGTTTCAAACGCTGGTGACAGAAAGATATAATCAATGCCTGTTGTCTATCTTGATTGGTTTATCTGTTCATTCTCAATTATATTTAAGAGTTTGCATAGTTGAACCTTAACTGTTTGATAAGATATCAAGAGGAGAGCTGCACTGCTGAGCGCCGAACAAGAATATGCCACCTTGTCAAGTACTCATCTTTTTATTTCTGATTTAACATGCCATTTATTTCCTGTACTTTGGTCTTTTATGGGTTAACAAATCAATATTGACAGTAACTACATGTCATACAGAAATTGTTTTACAATGCAACATTTATTTACAGTAATTACAAACATATATTAAGTGAGCTAGGATACAATCGTATGCAAAACACAGTAAACTATTTGGACCTTCACATTTATTGCTGTAATTTTTTGTTTGTTTTATTTTGTTTGGATATTCACTTATTTTTCACTTTCGCTCAAGATAATTTACAGTATGTTGACTGCTTTTTGACCGCAGAGAACATTGTTCTCTGTAAACAAGGTCTAATAATGGCATGTTTATAACATCTTTTTGTATTTAAGCACAGCTAAATCATGGATAGTCCACAACTAAGTGTGACATGGTTGTTTAAATGCTAACAAGTCGATCCTTTTCCATCGTCACTCTGTCTTTTCATCCCTTTGTTCTGCCTTGCAGATACTGGATCTCTGAGTTTCCAGCAGAGTTCAATCTGAGCCCGGAGCTGGCGGAGGAGATCAAAGACTTTAAAGACCTCCTGACCACTGAAGGCAACGCGAGCCAGAGCCAGCTCATTGACCTGGACAGTGTGTGAGTGAAGGCTGTGTGTGTTGTTGACAGTGAATGGACATCTCTGTCTGAGGGGTTTTATATCAGTGTGCCCTTTTAATGCCTGCTCTCAGACGATACTGAGCTGTCATTAGCAGTTCCATGACTTCTCCTTTTTCAACAAAAGCCATTTCTGTGTGACCTCGAGTTTCCTTGAGTGCTCCATGAGGACAAGGAATTGTGGAGCAGATGTGTGACTTCAGCTGAGCGAGGGAATGAATTCTGCATTTGTAGAAACATTTGATGGTTGTAAATGAGAGACTTTCATCAAATATTCTACAGTTTGTGTGTGTTTTATCATCCCTTTCAGGCCATCGTATAAATGGAAGCGGCAGGTGACTCAGCGTGTCCCGTCAGTGTCCAAAAAGAGGAAAATGTCCCTGCTGTTTGACCACCTTGATTCCTGTGAGCTGGCTGAACACCTGACCTACCTGGAGTACAAATCCTTCTGCAAGATCCTGGTCAGTCTGTAGTCTGTGATTAAACTGTGTGTCGAGTGTTTGCAGCTCTTAAATTGCTTGAATTCTCAAGTAATGCCACATGCTGCATGCTCTCTGTAGTTGCTAAGCAATACTGGTAAAAATCAACTTTTACTGGCGGTAATTATGTTTGTTTTCTCCAAACATTTTGCTCTTTGAGTGTTATTTTGAGAAGCAAAAGCATGATTGGGTTGGGTGCTGCTGATTTAAATGGTAGACATTTCTAGATAATTTATTCAAGTGTGATGTGTTGGTGGTATGAGTGCTGGTTATTGGTCTTGGCTTTGTCTTTGCTTCCTTTCCAAAAGAGATGCCTGCTTGATATAAAACCAAATTAGTCACGGTATACAAAGAGCATTTAGTTTACTGTGTAAAATGTGCAGTGATGTTGCTGTTCTGCATCTCCCCTTTATTTCCTAGTAAAGAGTGGCTTCATCAATCAGCCTGTTGGATGCTTTGTTATCATCATTGATGCCTTAAAGGGATATTTTAACAGTGTTCTAAATAAACTTACTATAAAACAGAGAATTGTGGATTTTAAAATTAAGTGTCTGTGCAGATAAACAAAACATAATATAACAGTTTAATAAGTACAGGTGTTAGATTGGGGATTTTGTTTTGATAGGTCGCCATTTCTCCCTTTTTAATTATTTACGCTAAGCTAAGCTAACCAGCTACTGCCTCCTGCTACATGTTTACCTCACAGACATAAGAGTGGTAATAATTTCCTCATGTCGACTCGCCACGAAAGAAAATAAGCATATTTCCTAGTGTTGCACTTATAGACAGGGGACATACAGGAAACACATACACATTTGTTTCATTAAAACCAAAGCAGCTAGGCCTGAGATATATCCTGACCAGTAGTCTTAAAGGTAGGGTAGGTAAGAGTGTAGACACCAGCTCGAGTGCGCTAGAATTTGAAAGTACGCAGCCTAAAAAAATCTGCCTCTTCCTTCAGACTTCCTTACAGAGCCCCTCCTCCAACACACACGAACGCGCACATGACCAATGAGGGCACGAGATAAGTTAGTGCACAGATGGAAGGCTGACAGGCAGGTAGGCCATCCAGTTATTTTAGCCGGGCCGGCTAAAATGATTGGTCGTGCTTTTTACAGTACTACGGCTTCCACAGATGAAATGTTGTTATGGATTTTTTGTCAAAGCACTTCAGATATTCATTGCTATCGGGATGTTAAGAGCATTCCATGGAATATAACAAAAAGTGTATCTGAAGTGAATACCTACCCCACCTTTAAGTATAGGTCAAATGCAAAACACTAGATATGTATGTTTGTGGATTGTGTATTTAGTTAGACCCTTCAACACATTTTGCAACACCATTTAAAAATATCAGTTTCAAAACTTATTTTAATAATCAAATGTGTAATGCTCCTACCTCCTCTCAGTTTCAGGACTACCACAGCTTTGTGATGCACGGCTGCACGGTGGATAACCCCATCCTGGAGCGTTTCATCACCCTTTTCAACAGCGTCTCCCAGTGGATCCAGCTCATGGTGCTCAGCAAGCCCACCGCCCCGCAGAGGGCCGCCGTCATCTCCCACTTCATCAGGGTGGCACAGGTCTGTCTGCAGTAAACAGCCCTAATGGGCCCACACAGAGACAGAGCTGGAGGGGGGGGGGGGGGGGACTTCAGGGGGCAAGCAGATTGATGGGGAGGATTGCCTGCAGCCACAGAGACAGACGAGAGAAAGTCGAAGAAATGTGAATCAGTGATTAAACTAAGAGATGTGGAGAAGCGAGGAAAAGTCACAGCACTGATGATTTGAAATGAGATGGATCATTTCCCATTCAGGGGCACACACTTGGAGAAAAAGTGAGTTTAATTTAAAAAGGCTTTAGAGGGATTAGCATGGTAAGATGCCCACTGAGACCTCTTTAACATAATGCTGCTGCCAAGGGAAAGCATCTAGGAGCTAAGAAAGTATTGTTTTATCTAGGTAATGATGCATTTGTGGCATTATCCAAACGGCTTTTATGGATCCAAGGGGTTATAAAAGTGTCTAAAACAATGCGTGAGCAGGTAAACATTCATTTGAATGAATGGAAATCACATAATCACCTACATTTCCCGAAAGAGTGTGAGCCAAGAAAGAGAATATACAATGATACACAGTGTGCACTTCCTATTGGTTAGACATTATTCACTGATATATTCTACAATACAGGAATCAGTGGACATTGTTTGAAGGTGGGATTACTGCAGAGATAAATAAAGGGTGGTCGGGAGACTGTGGTGCATTTCAGGTAACATGAACATGCATCAATGAGTAACATTCCCAAGTCCTCCCTCTCAGTTTAATGTGTTAGAGTGCTACTTTATTTTAGGAGGTAACAAATTACTATGCCATTAGTTTTGCATGTAGTATAATTTGTCCTTAGAGTGGCTGTAGGATTCATCATTGGGGACCAATTAATGCCGGTACAAAATGTTTTTGTGTCTAGTAGATGCAGTGATATTTTAATAAATAATTAAACATTTTAAACACTGGAGGAAATTATGAAATTAATGCTGTTATATGGTTGATATATATCTTTCCTGCAAGTTCAGCTTCACTGGAATTACTATCCTTCTTACCTGAGTGCTAACTTGTTACTATTAAGGGGACAGTTGTCTTTTTAACAATGGTAAACTTTGGTCAGTTGCAAAGATTTGTGTATAAGCATTACACTTTTCCATGTATCTCAATTTCTCTGCTCCTACTAAATGAATCCAGTCTCCAACTTGCTGCCCTACTGTATTTGGTTCTGTGTCCATATGTCTTGAGACTGTCATTCTTTCCCGATAGAGACATCCCTTTAATGCAATCCTGGGCTTCACTGTTGATACATTTTCAGTTTGATGTTATCATTTGCTCTGCCAGATGGGCTGAGTTCTCCCTGTATGGCAATTCACTCATTTGTGCAAGGCGAGGGTGCTTCAGTGGACCATTGAAAGAGCAGGAAATGATTCTCATCCGAATAGCCTGCAGTGCTATGTGAATGCATCCTCATTACTCATTGCCTGGATTGATACCCGTTTTCCATCTGTCCTGCTCTTCAGTTATAACAAACGTCTGTCCCTCATCATTTATTGAGCGAGGTCTCAGCAGGTTTGAACAAATCCATCTTAATACACCATCACTCCAAAACATCAGCAGGGCTCTCTTGCTTATTCAAACTCCTTGACATTGAGCAGGACTTTTCCAGTGTTTCCTGGAACTTTGACAATGTAGTAGTGATGTTGATTCTGAACCAGCATAATACCTATGACAGATCAGCTAATAAAAGCCTGATAATTATATCCAATGGTCTCCCACCTCCTAATCTTCCTTTTTATGTTTCATCACCACAATCAGTGTCTTTTGGTGAGTCTCTAACATAGGAAGTGTAATGGTAATTAGAATTTGTTAGCATAAACAATTCTGAATTGTCGTGAACATACAAATAATTGCAGGATATCATACTTATTTAATTTTTCACCCATTAACAATGATCAATTCTCTTTAAAGAGAGTCTTAGATTCGCTCTTACGGCCCGTCCACACGGCGGCGTGCGTTGAAGTTTCAACGCTTCTGCCCATTCACTTTGAATGGGGTGACGTCATGCATTGCCAAACTGCATTGTGGGAGCGTTGCTTCGCTTTGCTCACTTCAAAAGTAGAGCAATGTTCAACTTTTGAAGCTTCGGCGGAAGCGGCAGCCAATCAAATGCCAATACAAGCTCTAGCCAATTAAACCGCGTGCTTGTGTGTCCGGGGCGGGAGATTCATGTGATTGGTTGTTGGTCGAGTTTCAGACACGCCCACCGGCAAGCTTCAACGCACGCCGCCGTGTGGACGCTGCGTTAGAGTAATGCACGGGAGTCTTTAGCTCTTTAAATATCTTAATTCAAATCTACATTCAAATACAACCTAACAACATTCTCCTTTGGTTTTCCAAAAATACTGTACATTGCTACTGTTTCATGCTACACAATGCTGAAAACACTGATTACCATTCTTTGAAACCCCTATAGCATTGTCATTACTAGCATGTTAGCAATGTGTTGTTCCATTTAACTCTTAGCATCGGCGTGCTTTAGGATAGCCACACAGAAGCGCTAGCATGGCTTAAGACTCATATTACAACGAGCACTTCCCACTTTGCACCCAGATGTCATTTTGGCCAAGTCATTCATCCAGAAATAGTGAACATTTGGGCACAGACCATCCCTGCTGAAAATATCATTGTGAATTATTTGCCAATTTCAAATGTCTCAAACTTTGGTAATTGGTATGATAGCCGAGTATGAGCACATGCAGGGACAAAACATTTCCAACAAAATACCAAATGCATTCAGAGGCCACACAGGAGCTAGTCCTGACATACTTGACATTTCTCAAAGCTTCCCTCAGGGTACGCCGGTCGTACATTTTAGCCTCCTGTTGGGAGTGCATCACAAATGACTCACATCCATTAGTCTTAGCTGTGCAGACTGCTATTATAATTTAAAATGAAAAAACATCCCTTTCATGCTCATTAAAAAGACCCATTCTAATTTATTTCACAATATGGTATGTGTGCATGTGTCTGTGCCTTCTGGCTTTGAATAAATAGCCACATCACCAATCGGCTGAGTGCCAACAGTTGGTGAATCCCTCTCGTAGCCCTTTTATATAAACACCATTTATTCTACTCCCAGTGGAAAGCCCTGGCATGTTGACAACGAGACCTTTCTGACGGTCACATGCACATGCAGTTTAGCCGAACGCACTCTGTGAATTCGAGGCTGCCTTTCACACTGCTTTGCCAATTGATACCAAAGGGTGTTTGAGCTGAACCAAATGATCCCCTCTGGCAGCCCACCCACACAGCTGCGACCCCATCGATTTTTCTGTGAGATGCCACACAGGCTGAAGGGCGGCGGGGAGCCCTGCGGAGTGCCATTCACAAAGTGTTAGCTTAACTTTGACATAGGCAGGTTACAACATTCAGTCATATTTTGGTATTCCAGATCGGGTTACGTGCATGCTGCTGAATTTGTTTTACTCATACTGTAAAATGTTTTTTTTAACCTCCACCACCTTTTCTCTTTCACTTCCCATAAGATCCTTTTTGGCAATGGCTTACACAAGCATTCCCCGTCTCCTCTTTCACCCTCAGAGTTATTTTGTCCTCCTTCTCGTTGACAGAAGCTGCTGCAGTTGCAGAACTTTAACACACTGATGGCTGTGGTGGGCGGCCTCAGCAACAGCTCCATCTCTCGTCTCAAAGACACACAGACCCACATCAGCGCAGAGACCAACAAGGTGCAGTAGCTGCTAGCATCCTCCCAACCATCACTGATCTCTTTCTGGCACTCACAGCGTAAACACCACCACACAAATTCAATGTTCACTGCGTGTCGATGCACTTAGTGAAACAAGTGATATTAAATCTTGGTTCAGTAATCCGCATCTTCTCTGCATGAGCTGCCAAGCTCCTTATCTGTGCCCATTACTCCTACTCTGTGGGTTTTGAGAGCTATGAATCGAAGCCATGTAACTCAAAAGTTGGGTTGCAGTCTCGTCTTTTGTGTGAGTCCATCTGGATCAAAGTTTTACACAATGTTTCTGATTCTTCTAAACAAATCTCTCTTGAGACAGGCTTTGTGTTTGCTGCCAACTCATCTTCTACCATTGTTCACCCCTTAAAGGTCCCCTATTTTTCATCAATATATTCTCACATTTACAGAACATGTCTCTGAAGTGATTGGCTGAAACACCAAAAAGATCATTGCAGCATCCCATAATCCCCTCTGTTTCAGCCATGTTTCCAAAGTGCTGATTCTCTGTCTGTTACTTTAGATGAAAATAAGGAGCCCCTCCCCACGCCCCTCTGAGAGAGATTTGGTTACAAAGAACACAATGGTGCTCTAGGAGGAGATTCAGTTGATAAGGTGAACCTTGGTTGGTGATTGGCTAATGGTTACACAAGCCAAGAAAATCGTTATGACATCATAAAGTGGCCAAAATCTGATCAGCTCATTTTCAGACAGGTTTTTATATAAATAGATCAGGACAAAAAGAGAGAGAATCTTTTTTCCTGAAGCTTTCAGAGTCTCTTTACACAGAGGGGACGCATGTTGATGTAGAAGAGACATGGAAAAAGTGGATTTTGCATAATAGGTGACCTTTAAATTATTTCTATTCACCCAACCTGCAGGTTTTTAATAACCTCATTGAACTGGTGACATCATGTGGGAACTACAGTCAATACCGCAAGCGCTTCTCAGAGTGCTCAGGCTTCCGGTTCCCCATCCTCGGCGTGCACCTGAAGGACCTGATAGCCGTGCACGTGGCGCTGCAAGACTGGGCTGATAAAGAGAAAACACGGGTCAACCTGACCAAGACCCAACAGCTGTACGCCATCCTTCAAGAGCTGGCGAGGATCCAGACCACACCGCCTCACATCGACGCCAACACAGACCTGCTCAACCTGCTGACGGTGAGTAAGAACTGGACAGAATATGTATTTGCAGCGTCCAAGATGTTTGGATTGAATTAGAGTTGTAAAGAACAGCTTGTACCGGGTAAAATCAGGGCCTGCATTAGGTGCATTGAGTGTGTTATTCATCGTGAAGGCCAGAAGTTGAAGGCACTCGAAAGCACCCAGACAGCAGTGAAGTGGAGGGAAAAGTTTGTGAAGGACAGGCCGTCTGTGATACACAACGTTTGTTCTGCTATGGTTTGCTTGGCCAGACAGACTGTACAGTAGCCAGCTGAGAGGAAATCTGTTTACAGGCAAAGGACTGAGATCACGTCCAAAGCTTTCAAGGCATGAGCCTTCACAGTTTTCTATTTTCCTGAACAGATGTCCACAATTGTCTTGTGTCGGTATGGTGAGAACCACTGAGAGTTGCCCTTTGAGTAAAAAAACATAACATGAGTGATACAGAGAGGATTAAACAATGCAATGAATTCTACATCTTTGTTTGCCACATTCAATTTCAGAGTCAGGACGAAGAGTCATCACCTATTTATAAACATTACTGAACTTTAAATTGTTAACCTGTGCTGAGACCTCTTGTCTTTTCCTGTATCCTAACTAAAGACTAAAACGATTCTGCTGTCAGAGCGGATTGGCTTTAGAACAACTTAAAAGAGTACCTCAGTGAAATAAGCATCTTCTTAAATCTCAACAATTTTGCAGATAACTATATTGCGTCATCATCACTGCTTTTACATTTGAACTTCTTCCACAAAGTATTTGTATGTCTTGGCTGACAAAACGTTGCTCTCTTTCCTTTTATTCCGCTTTATATCATCCCATTACCAAGCATTAACTGGAATACATAGAAGCCTAAAATAAATACCCAAATCACATTCTGACCCTGTTACATACATTTAGCAAATGACACTTTTTACAGTTTAGAGCAAACAGCTACAACTCAAACAAATCTGGAAACTTGCACTACAGCATGCGTGGTGTTTTAACACTACACACTAATCCCCTGAGGTGTGTTGGAGGATTTTTGATACGATTTTCCCGAATTCGAGAAGCGTTCTGTATTCAAATTATCCCGAGAGTTTAATCAATGTGGCTGCAGGTGTTCATGTGAGATTTCAGCTAGTTCCTCTTTCTCTCTTTGAAAGTGAAAGAAACAACTTGACAGGTTTTTTGGGCACCAGGGAAGTTTGTCAATATCCAATTATCTTATGCCACTGCTTATCACAGTTTATCTATATTAAATCTAAGTTGAGTAAAGCGAGAACAGAAAGAAAGTCTATACATCCTTCAAAATAGTCCTTTCAAAGTAAGTAGATTTCATTATATCACCTTGGATGTAACCTTCTCCCTGATATACTGTAAGTTCCATTAGATGAGAAGGCCAAACAAGACTAAACACATTATTTCCTTCTGCACTTACCACTTCAACTCAATAAAAACCAGGAAATACAATTACGCTAACAAAAATTGCTCTGAGGAAAGCAACATCATTTGAGGCCAACAATGGATGAAGTGAGGAATTTAATGTGGCAGTTGGCTGGAGACAAAAAACACTCACTTGTCGCTATAGCGTGTGTGTAGATGTAAAAAATGGATATCCTAAAATATTCCTAAAAATAAGAGTTTAATGTGTATGACGGCATTGGAGTAGTCTGCAGTTTGAGTGAATTTATGCCACAGTCTTATTTGGTGTCTTTGTGTCTATTTCACATTTGCAGTTGGACTAAATCTTTCTAATGCTGCTTTTGCGTAGAATGAATGTAGTTTAATGTACAAAAGTAATGTAACCCCAGCCACGTCAAGTTAAACAAGTATTGTAGAGAATGCACCTAGGTAAAATCAGTGATCGTGATGTAAAATGTGTAAACTATATGACTGGTGATTCATTTTGGAATGTAGTGGGGGCTAAACCCACACAAATGTGACAGAAATGTCAGTTAGTATGAACACAAAGACACACCCAAACACTCACAACCGCAGACCTCAAAGACTCCATATTTATTAACACCTAAACAAAATCAGTTAATGTTGTGTCTTTACCTGTAAATCTTTGTTAGATTTGTACATTTGATTTAACTAGTGCAATTACTCTTTATTACTGTTTTCATGGCTGCTTTTTATTGTTATACTAATTTGCATCGAGTGAAGCCTGCAAGATTTCATTGTACACGATAATATAATGCCAATAAAGATCTTCAGATTCCCTGATGTCAAATATGGAGACATAAAAGTCCCACTTTTCTGTTCTGTGCAGGTGTCTCTGGACCAGTACCACACGGAGGAGGAGATCTACCAGATGTCTCTACAGAGAGAACCTCGCAAGCCAGCGGTGAGCAGCACACTGATGTACCCTTTGTCTGTTCTACCTGTCTTGCCATGATGGATGATCACATTGCATTTTAAAATGGATTTTATTTTCCTTCCGTCATCACATTTCCACTTCAGTAACCTTTGACTCATGCTATGAAGAGCGACCGTCTTCTCTTTACTTTGTGAGATTGCAGCTTGTGTTTCCCCCGGGCTGACGCTGACCTCACAGTCGTTGTTTTCTCATTTTTTTTGTAGCAGAACTCCAGCCCCGCCACCGCGCCTGACCCCAAGCCTACCATGATCGATGAGTGGTCCGTGTCGGTGAAGCCCAGCACCGACCCCACCATCATCAAGAAACACATAGAGAAGATGGTGGAGGTGAGTTTTGTTTCGCCCCTAAATGTTCCTCTCTCTCAGCTCTGATTGTGACCTGAGGGACAGAGGAAGGCTGAGGGAGGATTATCTGTGGTTATCCTTTCCCTCATCTTGACATGATAACTGCAAAGTGCTCTTGGTTATTGGTCCAAATGGTTAGTAATCTTTCACCATGTCATACATCCCTGTGACTCTACTGTGGGTGATGGTTTATGGTTTATTTTTACTTGGAATTGAAAGTATTAAGAGTTCTGTGTTTGTAAGGAACATAGACTCTATAAAAGAAGTAGACATGAGCCGGTTCAGTAGTTGCAAAAACAAGTCGGATTGTATTGAAACCTATGGGAAAATGTTCCTACTTCCTACTTCATTTACTACATTTGTAAACATTTTCCTAATGAGTTGATGGTTTGAACCGTTGGTTTCAAGTCGTCTTCAATATAGCATGATTTTCATTTGTAAATAATGGACCCAATTTAGAGTAAAAAGACAATTAAGCAGCTTTAGTCATTACCACAGTGACCTGCTATCTGACTCAGAAGAATCTTAAAAGTTTGAATCTCAGAATAACTTAAGAAATCTTAATGTCTTTAATGTCCAACTTTCTCAATACAATTTCAATGTTTTGATCCAGCACAGAAAATAAAACAAATAATTTTCTATCCCATAAGAATCTAAACTTGGCTATATTTAGCAGCAAAACATTCTGAATTTAAAACTGAACCAACCAACCGTCACATTCACAGTCAGTCTTCAAGAACTTCGACTCAGACGGTGACGGCCACATCTCTAGGGATGAATTTGAAGCCATAAGGAACAACTTCCCATACCTCAGCAAGTTTGGAGAACTGGACAAGAACCAGTAAGGATTTTTCTTGTTTAATCACTACTGTTAAATCCTTGCAGTTTTCAGACTGACCCCACCCTACTCATCTTTGTTGTTCTCTCACAGAGACGGGAAGATCAGCAGAGAGGAGATGATCGACTACTTTATGAAAGCCAGTTCTCTGCTCAACTGCAAGATGGGTTTCATCCACACTTTCACTGAGAGCACCTACGTCAAGCCCACGTTCTGCGAGCACTGCGCCGGCTTTGTGAGTAAACACCCACTACTCTTGTGTAATCATCTTTCGAGATAGTCTACCTCACTTATGACCCCAATCCATCCTTAAAATGGACAACTTAGTATATCTGCAATGAAATAAAAAAAATTAGATGTATCGGGCTCATGGGGGTCTCTAACAAATATTGATATTTTTTCCGCTTAATTATTGGTTTTCAAATGCATGGATTTCTTGCCTGACCCAATCAATTGCAACGTTTGTTTAAAAAAAAGGTCAAAGGTCAGTTGGGTCATATGGACTATCTGCACTTCATTACATGTCATCTCTCAGAGGTTCCTCCTGTCAGGTCAGGGCAATACCAATTAGTTTGTGCTGTAGCCACACACTGCTGAAGTTGCATTCTGGGAAATATGGGAGGAAGGTAATTGGGCGAGATGATAACCCTCCTCTGTGGCAGTGTTACATCTCTGTATATATATATATGTGTGTGTGTGTGTGTGTGTGTGTGTGTGTGTGTGTGTGTGTGTGTGTGTGTGTGTGTGTGTGTGTGTGTGTGTCCTCTGGCCCCTTAACATCTGTCTAAAGTCCCCTGAGGAGCTCTGTGTTATTAAGACACAGACAATGTCAGCACTCAGCTGTAATGAGAACAGGAACACGGCCCTAATGTTGAACTGCTGACACCCAGATGACACCGCATTCATTTGTGTGTGCTACATGTGGAGAGAAGCTCAAGAGGAAATGCTCAAAAGAGAAATATGCCGTATGTGTAGACGTTCAAAAACACTCAAAGGAGCGCGGCGGCATACATAAAGATGCACACATTCTCCAGGGCAGCATTTTCAACCCATCATGAAGGGAAACGGTGAATAGCGAGCAGAGAAAGATAAGGACTCTGAAAATGTGTGCCTCTCCCTTTGAATACGATTGTGTGGCACTAGCCACTTCCTGTTCAGCCTGCTTTGGGCCTTCCTCTTGACTCCTGTACAAAAACAACATTTTTTCGCAGCCCATTTTTCAACACTTGTCTCAAAAACACCGTTCAAGCCAAGCCGGTCCCTCTGTAAACACGGCAGGGTTCACCCACATCTCGCATGGATCATCACGCTCTTCTGCCTGCAGTCCCTTTAGTCTGAATTCTAATTAATGGCAAACAGATGCGTTTTACTGAACGCACAAAACGATAAGACAAAGATCACAGTGTGATTTTTTTGTACCGCTCACGAGAGTACGGCAGGTCTTTAGCTGGAGGCTCTGTGCACTTTTATATGAGAGATGGCAGAGAGCTATGCAAGTATCTTTAAACATTTACGCTTCATAGAAACATAATTAAAGGGCTGGAATCTTCTTTTTTTTGTTGTCTGGCCTTGAATAGAATATGTTAAAATCATCTCGCTGGGGAAAATTGCTGTCAAGGCAATCTATAATTAAACAACAAATTCAGGCCTATTTATTGTCCTTTTTCACACCTACAGATATATTAGCTTCCTTTTTCTTATTTGGTGCATTTAGGTTCATAGCGCTAAACCTTCCTTGAACAGAGTTGGAGAGCATGGCACACATATTTTTCTAGAAGCTGTAAATCTAAATAGGACTTTCTTCCGGCAATGTTCAAACCACTTCAAAATGCAAGCGGTACTGGAATGTTAAGCCCTAAAATCAAGTGTAAAACTTTCCCTGTAGAAAGATTCTAGCAGAAACCTTTTTCCAGCCATTGAGATCAGAACATGGAGCACCAAAATGTGACTTCTTATTTAATAGACACATACATACATCTCACCAACAGGCCTTTAGAACCAACACAATTCCAAAGTGTGTTGTATAGAACAAGATTGACATACTTCTTGTGGGAAAAACTTGATTATGCCAAAGAAAAAAGACCTGAGGAGAGCAGAGCAAGATGTGCTGTCTAGCCACTTTAGATAATGTTATTTCGATAACATGATGATTAAAATAACCACTCTTTCACACATTGTAAATCTATTTAAAAAAGGTGGTAGCTGGATGCAAACATGTTGGGTGAAGTCTGTTTATCTGCCTGCAGGGACTGAATGACATTTGGTAGGAATGGATGGAAGGCCTTTTTGTAGCTGCAACAACATCACATGACGCTGATTAATAGCTTGTCATTATATATTAAGAAATTAGCAAATGATCCCAAATATAAAAACATAACAATCTAAAAGGACATCTTTCATAGTAAATGTGTAACTGCTGACAATGAACGCCACATGAGCATCAATGTGAAAATTCAAACATTTCAATTTGAAGTGCCAAATCTTGCCTCCATTACCTCGAACCTTAGCGTAAACCGTCAAAGAGAGATAGTGTGTGAGTGTGTTTGCAGCTCTTGTTTGTAGTGCATTGTGTGACTCACAGGCAGTAAAGGTCAGTCAGTGTAGGCAGAGCTGTGATGAGAGTTGTGTCTTTGTTCGTAACCGACTTCTCTTTGTTGTAGCGCCTCTGGCTGTTCACGCTCTCCTGATGTGTGTGTGTGTGTGTGTGTGTGTGTGTGTGTGTGTGTGTGTGTGTGTGTGTGTGTGTGTCTGTAGGTGCCTCTATGTGTTTGCATGCATGTAGGCTTGTGTGTGTGAAGAGGTCAGGATATTTTGTGCTTCTTCAGATGTGCCAGTGCAGTGTGTGATCTCCAGCTCGGCTCTTTCATGTCATTGTTCCCCCCACTGTCTGTGGACTCCCCATGTCCCGCTTGATCTCGCCCCCCCCCCCCGTGGTGTGTGTGTGNGCACAGATGGAAGGCTGACAGGCAGGTAGGCCATCCAGTTATTTTAGCCGGGCCGGCTAAAATGATTGGTCGTGCTTTTTACAGTACTACGGCTTCCACAGATGTGTGGAAGCCGTAGTACTGTAAAAAGCACGACCAATCATTTTAGCCGGCCCGGCTAAAATAACTGGATGGCCTACCTGCCTGTCAGCCTTCCATCTGTGCACAAACTTATCTCGTGCCCTCATTGGTCATGTGCGCGTTCGTGTGTGTTGGAGGAGGGGCTCTGTAAGGAAGTAGCAGATTTCTTCCGGTTGTGTATTTTCAAATTCTAGCACACTCAAGCTGGTTTCTCCAAAATTACCTACCCCACCTTTAAGTTGGTATTTGTACAAAAAGAAAAACATCAAAATAATGAAATTATCAAAAAGATATTCAACATAAAAAAAAATCAGAAATTCCATAAATCAGACTTCATTTGTATAGCACTCTAATAGAAAGTACTTCAAAAAATAAATAAAACCAACCCCTCAACACAAAGTCACAAATTGCTTTGTTATAGTTGATAACTGATTAATCTTTGTTTATGTAAAAATACCATAGCACAAACAATATGCTTTAAATGAGGAATTGTTGCTTTTTTAATGTAAATCTGAAACCTTTTGGATATTCAAAACACTTTTAAAACCTCAATTTGTGGTCTGGAGCTGAAACAATCAATCAATAATTGGTTGATTAACTAAAAATAAATTGTGATAGGCATTTTTTAAAATATATTAAGATGATATAGAAATGTAAAGAACTGTAAATGATCAATCAAGAATGCGAACATCAGATTCATCTGTGCTGAAAATAATCATCAAATATATTTTTCAACTCACTGGAGCTGATCTATATGTCAATCCACAACATTGGATTACAAGAGGAATAATGCAGTTGTTGTGTTTGGTATTCTCTGGTATTATATTCTTTGGTATTGTTTTAGGTAATGCTTTTCTTACCTACTACTGCGGCTGTAAAGGGTTTTACCATTGCTGTGTTTTTACCTGATGATTCAGAAAGATGGAGCACTATGTGACACTATGTGTGCTTCAAGGATATGGGTGAGTGTCCTTGTATTTATCTGGCGACATGCTTGTATGTCTCGCAGCGACAGCCTCTCTCGTCAAGTTTTCTCTGCCTATGTGAAAGATTTAGAGCAGAAAAGGTTTCTTATTTTCCAGCATAAAGAATGCATCTACCTCTTCCTGTGGACTTTCTCATTTGTATCATAATTCTAAATTTGGCATTTTGTGTCAAAATACAAAATAAAGTATAATCCTGTTTTACAGAGTCAATCTGCACTGTAGTTGAATAAAACCAGACATTCAATGTTTCCTAATGTCATTCTAGGTGAACCATGTTGGAGAGGTACGCAGCACCCAGCAGGCACCAACTGTTGTTTTGTCAGAGAGAGCAGCACCTGACCTGAGGGCGGGGAACAGTGTGGTCTCCTATGGCAACGGGACAGTCAGCATCCACAGTGAGGGAAATTATAACCACAATAGGTGAGTGATGCCCGGACACCACAGTGTGATCTGTTTCAACCCTGAAGCTTCAAATGCACAGTTATTAGTGTTAAATGTCTTTGAAGAGAGTCATTTGGTCAAGTGAGAAACATCATCACAAACTGCATTATGCACAAACAGAGTAGCCATATCATGAGTTCTTTATTGTTCTATCCATGCACGTGAAATTAATAAATTATTATCATGGCTAACTGTTTGGCTAAATTCAAGATTAAGGTCAAATGTATTTATAGCGCAAAAAAAACAACAGGATTGTGCTGTCAGTGCTTTAGAAACAACCATAATTATACAAGAAAGATTATCACAAGACATACTGTACGTGCTGCTCAAATACATTCATTACACTGTGCACAAACACACATGTGACATTAGAGACAGAATACGCAATCAGTCATCTGATATCTGTGTCTTGCTTTTCTATAGTTACTCTGCTGGCAACAGTAATGGTCGGGGTGTGGAGCCACTGTACCAGAACAGCAAGGTCACAGTCTGCTCCAGCAGCTCCTCAGAGGAGACGGACAGCCTCAGGAAACCTCCTCCTTATCACGTGGAGGAGAAGCAGAAGAAAAAACGGGAGCCCAGACCTGCTGCTCGGGAGATGGTGGAGTCCACGTATGAAACTGGTTACACAACCGGAGACACGGGCAATGAGCTGGACCGGCACCACACAGATTACCTCCACAGGTGGGCCACTGCTGCTGCCAGATAATAATGCTGTCCTTGGGTTTTTAATATTTAGGGAGAACACGTTTATTTGTATAGCAGATGCTATGCACTGAGGGCTCAGTTTTTTTAAATCATTTAATTATGCAAAAAACAATTAATAAAGTGTTGAAATATAAATATTGAAAACAAAGTAGAAGAGTTATATACTCTCTGCATGTTCATTCGGATGCTTTTTCTTAAATAACAATATTATATTTATAATGTATTTGTTGTCAGCCAGGACAGGCTGAATTTAAAGATGTTGAGTATCAGCATAAATGTTGGCTGTTGGCATCTTGAAGCAAGAAAACTCAGTTTCAGATTGAGACACCTTTACCCAAACGAAAGTTTTTAAGACCAATCTGACAAGAACCTTTACTTTCCTCTGGCTTTGCCTCTTTCTAATTAATACCACTATTAATGAATGGAGACAATTTGCAGTGCCCTGAAATAGTATTCATTATTTCAGAAGAAAAGGCTGTGATACTATAAAAACTGGCCAGCATCTCTGTTGTCTACTGTTATTCTTATTCAAATACTGTACCAAAAAAACCCCACTGCATACTTGTGTTGCCACTGTCTCAATAATAGTTGTATTTAATCATCTTGTCAAGACTTACTGTTCATTTCCCACTCCAGACTTTACCCAGAGATTACTTCAGATGAGCAGCGCAGGCAGTACAAGACGGAGTTTGACTCAGACCTGGCCCGCTATAAGAGCCTCTGTGCAGAAATGGATGACGTTAGTGACGAGATGCACAAGCTGAGCCGAGAACTGGACATCCTGGAAGAGGACTCCATGAAGTACCAGGTACCGAAAAAAAGGAGTGAGGAGTCGAACATTCAGGGCAGACTGCCAGGAGAATTTACAGTCATAGCCCTCTAACAGCTAAGATCATGCTCAGTAACACAAAGCAGTGAAGCTGAAGTGAAGCTGCTTTTGTGCTAACATTTTAAGATTCTCTTATATTGTTAATGTTATAGAGTCAACAAAACATGTGTTTTTCTATTTTCAGGGTGTGGCAGATGAGTATAACAGACTCAAAGACCTCAAAAAGGTGAGTGTAATTAAAACTGTCATCATATCATGAGTCATTAGTTCAATAGTTTGGCATTTTGGAAATTGTTTATTTGTTTTACTGCAGAAAGTTAGATGAGAAGACAAATGCCTCTCGTAACAGTTTATATAAAGCATCACATTATCTTAGCTTAGCATAAAGACTGAATGCAGGGGGAAACAGCTAGCGTAACACACCTTTGAATCTCAGCTGTTACCTTCAACCTCACCAAGTTTAAGAGCCAGCAAAATGGCATGTCAAAATCTTTCAAAGGAATAAGTCTAGTTTGGCGCATAAACAACTTTACAACTTCAATTTCCTAGCCTATTTATTCTGTCTGCCCTCCTGTTTCAACTAATTGTAATTTCTGGTACCATGTCTACATCAATTGTCTAAATTAATGTTGAAAAATACTTCAAATTAAGTTGACAAGCTGTCGGCTGTAGACTTATATTTAAAGTTACGATCTTTAACATTTACAATTCATTCTCTTGCGCACTAAAGTTTGATTGCAGATGTGTTTTTTTTAAATTTCACTTCCCAAATGTAGCCGCTTGTTGTTTTTCCTGGTAATGTCGCCACAAACTTATTTGGACCATTATATGGATCGGTGAAATATAGGCTTAATCATAACTTCTACCTAATTTGGCGATAGTGATAGACTCATTTAAATTACATTTATTTTCAGATAAGTACTTTATTACACACATTGAAGAGCCATATTGATAATTGTATTACATTTTTCGGCAAAGAAAGTGAATGGGTATTTACCTTCTGCTGGTATTGCTACTAATACCAATGATTATGTTCATTGTTTAATATCCGCTTGCTTTTATTTCTCTATCTTTTAGACTTCAGACTATAAAGCGAAGAAGAGGCAGTGCAAAGAACTTCGGCAGAAAATTTTCCACATCAAACGTCTGGTGAAAGTCTTTGACCAAGGTCTGTGTTAGTGTGATGTAACATTCTGTCCGACAGCCGAGGATGAACACTGACACGCTGTGACCTGGCTGCAGAAACTAGGATTGTATCCTCCATTTTCCCTCCAGTTCAGCTCAACATGGGTGTGCTTGCAGCCACTGAACCTCAAGTGTTTTTGACCCCAATGTTTACAACTACTGTGTGTGGCTTTGGCAGCTGTCAGAGTGGATTACTGTCAGGTTAGCTACTGGTAGACTTTCATCTGTGTGGTTGTAACAACATGCTACTGTTAACATTCATATTTGTTGTACCTTGTGTAATATTTAACATTTAAATGGCAATTTTATTTCAACAATGTTTAATTGTTACAGAATGTTGCAGGATGGGAAGCAATGAGTGTCAGTTTTAATACAGAAATAATGTAATGATGAAAATGATAGCAACAGAAATTGAGTCAATTATTTAAACAAATCAACAACTTTCATAAATACACTTCTACATTTAAGGTTCATGTCGCAGTGTTTATTTGGCATTCTTCATACAGATGTAATTACAACATTTTTTCAAAGAGTTAGAAAAAAAAAAACATAACAAAAAGACACATCGCCATCTTTCGAATCTTTTAATAACTTTTCCACACACACACAATTTAAAAAAACGTGAGAACTCAGTAACACAAAGATAGGAAAACATTAATAGCATATTTAGCTTTTTTTTTTCTATGACATGGTTGCGTGAGTTGTTGCGTAAAATAAAAGTCAAAATAACTTTCGAAAGGCCCGGCGGTAGATGAAGAAGCAGAGTTACATCCTTCTACTTCGTGTTTGAAAACACTAAATGCTGAAATGCCTTGTGTTTAGAGTTGGTATTGTTTTTTTCCTTTCAAATATTTTCCTCATGTAAACCCGCCTCTTTAAATACCAGCATGAGGTAAATCCCAGTGGACCAGCAGATCAGGACCCATCTTTTTTTAACTTAAGCATGATGTTTTGGCATTGAATATCCTCCAAGTGCAGTTTCTCCAACCCATTTCCACCTACAGTATTGTCTCACAGCATTCCCAACAGTATAGACCCACTCAGTTATATCAGCTGTAATGGCATGAAGATAAGCGTCTTTTTTGACATCTAAGCAGATGACAGAGGTATTTTTCATGTAAATACATATAGAAAAAAAACAACATTTAGAAGTAAACAGTGAAAGCAATACTTAAATGTTTAAATGAAACTTGAATTACATTATGTAAAAGAATGAAACAAGTCTCCACTTAGCAGAGATCCAAAACAACATTTCAACATGCAAAAAATACAAAGTTGGCTTCAATATATATATATATATACATACATATCAACACATTTTGTCAGGGATCATTATCCCCAGAAACAGAATTGATCGACGTAAACTGGTGTTTTCATTAGTAGTGTTGGTTATAAACTCTCACCACCAACTATAACTAATAGGGCTGTCCCGAATACCATTTTTCTGGCTCCGGATATTCGGTAGTAATCAGCAGCGAATATTCGGATATTCGGCCCAACACGTGTATTTCTGTTTATTCACGGCATTCATTTTGTTATTCTACAGTATTGTTGTTTTATAGTTATTTGTTCAAGTATATAACCCAATTTGTGTTCTTTGAAATTGAAAAGGATATTGCATTGTGTTTGTTAATTTCGTTGCAGTTGTATATGTCTTAAGTGTAATTTGGCTTGGCTTTCTATTTTTTATGGACATGCTTTTATTTTGAAGGAGAGTTAGCGCTGTTGACAGGAAGTTGTTGTTGCTATGGAAACAACGTGACGGAGATTAACGGAGATAAATCATAATCTACATATAAAGACGGAAAAAGTAAACGATAAAGTTTATGGTTAAGTGTTAGCACCCCCCGAAGAGGCACAAGCTCTTACGTTGATATTGGAGATTTCAATAAAAAACGGGGAAAAAAACAACGAATATATTGAAACCCGGATAGTACTCCAATGAACGAATATTCGGGTACAGCCCTAATAACCCATTGATATATCTTCAGTTGTTTGTTTTAAAAGAACCCGAGTTGATGTCAGCCTGCTATTTCTCCAAAGAAAAAGAAAAAAGAAGCTTGATCCAAACATTGCTTGATAGCTGAATTCCCCCTGATTCAATGGGTCAAATCATGTTTTGTTTTTTTAGAGATACAAGACAAATGTTGGTGATGCTCAACCCAAATTCAGAATGAAAAACAAGGCAGTTGTCAAAAAGAAGGCGGTTTCTGGTGAACAACATTTACAGAGGTTTGTGTTAAGGAAATATCAGACTGAAGCATTCTGATGTCTAGTGAGGTATAAGTCCGCTCTCCTGTAACTGCGGCTTTATGACAGAAACAGTGAGCCCTGTGAATGTGTTTAAATGCATTGTTCTATTGATGGTCAGGCAGTCACAAGAGTCCGTTTATCTCTCTGCTTTGTGGACCAATTATTCTAATCAGAAGCCATCTCTGAGGATGAAATGATAGACTTTGGTGATTTTTCCTTGGTTTTGTTTTCTTTCTGGTTCCATATGATCCATTCCCTCCTCAGTGTTGAGCTAGAAGAGCTTTGCTTCATAAACAAGCTCTTACTTTGTCCCATATTCAGTTCACCACAGTTCAATTAGATCCACTCTAATCATGTAATTGTAATGTTATCAGTGTGGATAAAAAGGTCAATGTATCACAAAGGGTGAGCTGTGTAAAATGAGCCCAGTGTGGGGAAAATTGTTCTGCTGACGTTCAGCGGCGGGACCGTTTTGTCCTCTAGATGTATGTGTCGCGGGGTGCTGCTGCCCTCTACATGAAACTGGAGTGTCTTTAGTCACTGTTGCATGTGGGTGGTGGCATGACTGGCCGTGGTGGCCATATCGGAGCTCAGCATGAAAAGCTGTTCGCTGCCCTGAGACCTGGCACCAGAGCGACTGGGCTGGCAACAAGACAGATCCTGGCTGGCACTGGCTCCTCTCTTTACTGGAGGCCGTGTGGAGACAGAGGGATCATTTCATGAGAGTGAATAGAGTGGTTACAGTACAGGTCATATGACGGCCAGCTGGCACTGTAGTTTGATAACCACACAGATGGATAGTGATGAGTCAGGAGGTTTCCTGTGGGTCTTTGTCGTCACTAATCCCAGACGGAGACCTCATCCGCAAGCGGGCTACTGTCCTGGGACATACGGCCAGCTGATGGAGCTTCCGGAGAGCTGCATGTCACGAATCAGCGTCTCGATGGGGGTCTTTCCTACCAGGCGCATGAAAAAGAGCTGCGAGATGAGGCTGGCTGGAACGGCGCGCAGGGCAGGGAGGCGCAGGAGCAGGCGTCCGAAGCGCTGAGGCTGACTCGGGTACTGCATCCTCTCGTACTCCGTCAGAGCTACCTGAGCCTTCTCCTGCAGAGACTCCACGTGGACCGGGTCTGTTAGACCACAGGCGTCTGAGGGGGAGGGAGAAGGAGGCCGTTATTTAATAGTGTGGGCAGGTTACATAAAGAGTTGTGATGAGAAATCCAGGCAGATATAATAATAAAATGCCCCCGAGGTGAACACATAAAATATAGTGCCTCGGCATGTCTTCCCTGTAAAAACAAGACATTAAAAACGTATATCACAGCTTTAAAAAGGAATACAAGGATGGGGTCTTTTAAAAATATTTGAATGCTTTTGGATGAGGCAAACCCACAAGGCAAATTGTTTTAAAGGGAGGCCACTAAAACAAGTCTTAAAATTCAATGTGCTGCATGATGATCAGTGATGGCACTGAATTATGCAGCACATACGTTTTCATTAATAAGCCAGCAGATGGTGCCATTGTATAAATTCCCAGATGGAGGTTGCACATTTACCTGCAGCCCCACAGATATTTAGGCTGTATGTGACATTTTACATTTTAAAATATATAGTTTTCCAAGACGCTTACTTTGTGTGTTTAGTTCCTATCCATAGTTATAAAGAGAGGCGCGATAAATATTTAGAAAATTAAGATAGTAACATAACAGCCTGTATTCATTGCTTGACAAACACAACATAATTCAGTTTGGCTGCAATCCACTCATTTTAGCAGCATATTAAAAAGAAGAAAAACATCAATCAATCTACATCTATCTTTATGTATATGTGTATACATAGTCTAATAATGGTAAAGCATATACAATTAGATGGATGTATAGTTATGGCTGTCATGGAATTAAGATCAGTTTACTATTCATGTTTAGTTGTTGTTTAATTGATTAGCATTTTCTTTGGCTCTGTGGGAGCTTTTTTTAAGTGGGAAAAAGATAGTCCAGGTGATGTCATCAGCGTTATGTTGGCTGATGTCTGAATACGATTAATTTTAAAGCATTGGATGTGCAGAGTTTAAAAGATGAATGAGAAACAACTTTATGGATAAGATTTAAAGGCTGGAGTGCCACTTTAGAATGCCTGAGGTGGTTGGGCAGCACATTGTGTTACGATAACATCAGATGGAACAGAAGAGCAGCAACAATCACCTGGTGAAAACAGCGCGATGGCCTTGAGGCAACTGTACTCAGCCGAGTCCACCTGCAGCCGGGTCAGCTTGTCCACCTGGTCCTGGAACACCCTCACCTGGTCCATGAAGGACACGACACGCTCTGCGGACATGGGCGAGGAGTGGAAGCCGGCTGCGGCCAACAAGGGGGCCATGTGTAATGGCAGGGCCGACTGGGCCGCATTGAGGATGAACAGCTCGCTCCAGCTCAGCCTCAGCAGAGCCACCTGTGGATTTGTGAGTGTGTTAATATGATTGACCTACACTGTCATCATTCATTTTTAATGTTCATTGTATTCATTGTATATTTATGTCTCCATGTAGACAACCTTTTCTCATGGAAACATGCCAAAGAATAGTATCTGATAACCAGGGAATAACTGCCACATATCCAAACACAATTTAAAATCTAATCTGCTAACCTGATCTGAAACAGGCAGCTCGGGAAAATAAGGGATGCTCCTGGCCCATTCCACGGTGCTGAAGAGTAGCCTTGCAGCCAGTTCACAGATGTTATCGATCCCCATGGCGTTATCCGGTCCGGCCTGCTGGTTGTACTGGTGACCAAACCTACTGCTGGGGTACGGCTCTGCTCGCAGCAGCTGGGAAATGAGCTCAGACACCGGCTGACCTCCGCCACTCCCTCCGTTGTTGTTGTTGTTGTAGAAGTCGCCACCTCCAAGGCCGCTTGCTCCACCTAAGGGCGTGATGGAGGGGCTGAGGCTCGGCTGAGGTGGGATCCGACCGCGTTGAACTGCTGTAGTTTAGTTGGGGTACAAAGGGGAGGAGAGGAAGGGTGGGGAGGAAACAAAGAGAGAAGAAAGAGAAGAGATGGAAGCAAAAGGAATGGGAAAAGGGCAGATAAAAAGAGACGGAAGATGAAGGTAAAGGGGAGGTATAGGAAGGGATTTGGAGAAGAAAACGGAGGGAAAGAAAACTTAAAACTGAGTTCAGCCAGCGGTGAATGTCAGATTATCAGAATACAGGCACAATCAAGTCTAGATTGATTCCTCAAGAAAAGCTTGAAAGTGAGGGGACTCATTCTTGTCAGGTTTGATGAAGGTTATCTATGGAAATGAAACAAAGACTCCGAGACAAAAGATTACTCTCCATTCAAAATTCAAACCTCTGAAATATTTATTCTGGAGGGGAATTACAGCACGCTATTTAATTAACATTTAACCATAATCTTAATACACATAGATTTGATCCTGCGCTCCAAATCACCCTAGGAGAAAGAACATCAATACAGACACATTGACTTCCAAAACAAAGCAGCAGGGCAGAATACTGGATAGAGTTAAGTTAATTTGTGCGTATTCATGCTGTAAGCATCTGTTCTGTCTAGGTGTCCTTGAGCAACAGACTCCAGCCTGAGTAATGCTCTGTAGCTGACCCTGACCTCTCTGTGGAGATGGTCAAGCAGTGGCAATCTCTCTGCAGGGAGCAATAATGAGTCTCATTAGCAAGCTTTACGATCTGTGAGTATTAGAGGGGGAAAACAATTGTTCTAAAAATCGAACGAACCAGGTCAAAATAACGTGATTGTTTTTTGTTTAAACATCGGCATGACGTTGAACAATACTTCAATCTGGGCTCTGCCACTTAAGTTGAAAACCCTGTATTGGATTTTGTTTGATTTAGCCAACAAGGCAGAGGGTTTGTGCAGCTTCACCCAGAGGCTTAAGGCTCTGGGAAGCAGGTGTCTTAGCACTGTATTCCTCTCAGTCACTCTTAAACAGGCACTAGATTAAGCCACTTAGCACATGGCATTGAGCTGACACGCATGGCTTCCTTTGCCATGATAGGGCCTAGACAGCCATGTGTGGCATTTTCCCTGCACTATGGAGCCCATGGAGCAGAAGAAACAAGATAACATTGAAGGCAAATTTAACTATTATTTGTTATTGTCCTAAGAGCTGCTGATTGTAGTAATGGAATGTCTCTCTGATAATCTTCAGTAAAGGAAATATCAATTATTTTCATTTTTTACATTAATTCACTTTCAGTATTTGCCATATTGCTCATGCGCAGTGGCAGTGTGTCCCACAGTCTCAAATAATTTCTTAAGGGATCAAAATCGATTGCGGATTTACAGATCAGGGTAGGCAGATACCTTCTTTGCGCATGCCAACACGGAAACATTTCTTCAGTCGACAGTACTGGCACTGGTTCCTGTGGTGCTGGTCAATCTGACACTCTCTGTTTGACCTGAGGACATAAACACATGATATTGCTGATTATTGCTTACCAACATAATAATTTAGTCCGATGACATGCAGACTGTGTGATTTGCTTTCAACAAGTGGTTTTGTGACTTTACTGGTTTTCATGAAGATGATAAAAACTATCCAACCCTGATGGCAAAAGTGCAATCAATCATTCCTTTACTGCTGCAAAGTGTATGTCAAACTTTTGAATGTACATCATATAACAAAAACTGTCATATTGATTATATAATTGTCTATGCGATGATACAAAGACTTCCTTTTTAAAGTGCTCTCAAACATTAATATTGCATCAGATTTACCACAAGGCCTCAGAGAATGTTACTATGCTTAGAAAGCATGATGACTGTTTCATTCAGTGTTACTTCTTCCACATACAGTATTGTTCTCATCTGTAGTGTACAACATACTCTTTCATATTTACTCAACTATAAAGTAGAGCAGAGACAATTGGTTGTGAACTCAATAAACAGAAAACACTGTCTGCTACTTTTTTGATAATCAGTTCATTGTTACAATAATTTTCAAGCGCAACATGCCAAATCTTCCGTGTAAAATCTTTCAAATTCTAGTTCTGATTGTTTTGTTCACACCAAACAAGTATCATGAAATTACCAGCATGGGCTCCTAGAAATTGTAAATGGTATATTTTTTATAGAACATAAACCTAAATCAATTCACTGAGAGAAATACTAAAAGATTGAGATATATTGGAAAAAGTAATTTGCAGCCCTTCATTCAAGACAATATTGGCACTGAAATAGTTTGACTTAAACATCTCACTGAGTCCGACCGACTTTGCACAATCTGATTTTTACCTTGCGGTATAAGGCAATGGAACTTGCTTCCACTTGAGCTTAAAATGTGCAGACTTTTCAGACTATGTTATAGTTGTAGATAGATGTGTTGTAGAGATCATAGTAGTGGTGTTGCTATACATTAATATTTTAACTGCCTGTTTGCTGTTTACCTGCCCATGGACTGGAGATGAACATTAGATATATCAGGCATAACATGTTATAATTATTCTAATTATAGCAAACAGTCCCAGGCTGCAGTTTCTCTATTGAATTTGGATATTATGCAGAAACTCTATATATGTTTTGATGTACGGCAAGCTTCACAATCATTATACTCTAGCAAACTAGGGATGCAATTACCAATAGTTCTGCCCCAATTTACCCATTTATTAAATACAACTCGTTTTTAAATCAGACCATGAAAAATCACAAAGATATGTAGTTATTATCAGAGAGGACTAACAGCAGGCACATTTGTGATGATGGAACCAGACAATGTGTGGCATGTTTGATTGAAAACTTAAATCCTTAGCAGAACAGAAATAGAAAATATATTGATAGTTTCAGTGCCATAGAGACACCTTTAAAAATGTAAATGCTAGGCTATATTTGTGGTTCCCTGTATTCCTTTTATTTTTACATTTGCTTTACAAAACACTCAATTACATTAGAAAGACAACAGCCTCGTTGCTTATGCAAACAAAAAAATGTATTGATAGAGTATAACAATGTATAGCTAAGCTTACATTGTACCTTTTAGCAACTTGTATAAAAAAAACACACACGATACTATCAACAAACAAAACAAAAAACTACCCACAATGCCCCTCACCTGCATGTGTAGTTGAGATTCCTCCGCACGCTCCTCTTGAAGAAGCTCTTGCATCCCTCGCACGTGAACACGCCGTAGTGTTTCCCGCTGGACTTGTCCCCGCACACCACGCAGTCCACCACGCAGGACTTGTCATCGTCCCCGGCCTCCATGTCGCTTCCTCCCGCCTGCGGAGAGCCGTCTTCGTCCTCCCCCCTCAGGTAACTCTTTTCCCCCAGCCCGTTCGTGCCCCCGTTGGGATCTCCCCAGCCCCCACTCACCATGGCCATCGCTTGGTTACCGAACCACGGAGGAAGAAAATGGGACAGGCCACCAAGATGTCTGGCTGCTGTCAAGGTAACATAAATATAAGAAAGTCCAGAGTGTGTCTCTCCTCACCTGAAATGGATCAGTGTTGCCTGCTTGTTTGTGCTCACCTTCGTTAATCAAGGTAATTAGAGCTTATATTGGCAGAAAATAAAGAGTCCTCAGGCTTAATAAGCAGATGTCAATTAGAGAGAAAATAGGCTACAGCATTGAGAGGGAGGGTGTTTGGCAGAAAAAAGAGCGGTTCGGTCCCCTCCCACTCCACTATGACCTGGAAACAGTCAGTGTGGCAACTTTTAGTTTTGCATGCCTGAGGATTTAAATTCCCCCTATTCTTGTCTTCTTTCCTCCAGCTGTGTTGCTTTGGTCCTTTTCTTTACACCGATTCCTGAGATGGCTCAAAAGTAGCCTGCTCGATCGCTGCCTGGTCAAACGGTCTCATCCTGGGAACCTTTGCACAGGAAACAATGAGTAAAACATACAGTGCACATTCCACTAAAAGAGAGCAAAGGCTGAAAAGATATTCAAGCAAATTACATGGGGGGGAAAATCTGCCCTAGCACACCGCTGCACTCTCACACATGCACTCCCAGCTCTGTCTCTGTAGCAACAGTAATGGCTGAAAAAGGACCTCGGTGTAGCTCGCCTTAGCACATGCCTGGAGAGGCTTTGACCACCCCTCTTAAAGCACCCCATACACCAAATGTTATCCCTGCTTGCGCCAGTTATTCCTCATATAAGGTTGCTGTCTACCAAAAGATTGCCCCTAAATCCTTGTAGAAATAATGTCAAGCTTACCTGGATGTATATGTGGCTTTCCTTCCTTCAAATTAAATCCTTTTTCTTGCCCTAGATCTTCCTCCCATTCAGCGAGCCTGAGAGCGCAGACACAGCTCTCCTATTCTGCTGTAATCCCCTCAGCGGCAGCAGCATTGTGACCCACAATGAAGTCATTCCTCATCGAGCAAAAACAAGTTGATGTCCTCACAACAACATCACTCGCATGTGGCCGTGGGCCAGCTGCAGCAGACTGCGCTCACCTCCTAAATACACGAGTATAGATCCTCAACACAAGGAAGTGATCTGTCTCTTCTCTTCTTGTTGTAGCACGGCTGCTCGGTTGTGACAATGTCCTCCGTGCTGCTTCTTTCCCCAAAACAAAATAAAAAAGCAGCAGAACGTCCTTGTGCTCAGCCCTCCATAGTTCCTGTGGTCGCTCTCCAGGCACTCATGCGGACTTCTCTCTCACAGCCTTTTGTCAGTGCTTGCCCACCAGGAACTAATGACTTGCGGCCTAGCCCTCTGTGTGCTCCTCTTTCGTCCGTGTGTGTGTGTGTGTGAAGCCTTTGCCTATGGCTCAGGCAAAACAGGAGGTGGGGGTGGAAGGGGACGTCTGCTGCTCTCCCCCCCCCCCTCTTTCTCTCAGGCTTCAGAGTCCACAAATAAAATTATGATTGAAGAAAATGGCCACAGCCGGAAGAGAGGCTGGATTTTTTTTTTTCAGGGTTTTTTCTTCTTCTTCTTCCTCGCCCTCTTTCCCCTTGTCTGTTTCATCCAACCTATTTGTGTACTTGAGAGAGAGATCAAGCAAAGCAAGGAGGAGAGTGTGTGCAGAGGGGGGGAGGGGGCCGTGTGTGTGTGGTGTGTGTGTGTGTGTGTTGTTGTGTGTGTGCTGTGTGTGTGTTGTTGTGTGGTGTGTGTGGTGTGGTGGTGTGGGTGTGTGTGTTGTGTGTGTGTGTGTGTGTGTGTGTGTGTGTGTGTGTGTGTGGTGGTGTGTTGTGTGTGTGTTCCAGGGAATTCCTGACACTGCTTATTCAAGCCCTGCGGTTTTCCAATGGGTGCTTGCTGCCTTTATATGGCTAATTGGAAGTCAAAGAGCAAGAGAGTGGGCTGTGTGGGGCAGCAGACGACACACACACACACACACACACACACACACACCACACACACACACCACACACACACACACAGGAAGGATGTGGAAGGATCTCTCTCCTCAGAAGATGCAGAGAGCATGACCCTTGGCCTGAAAAAACACCCCGACAATACCAGATTACCCTAAAGCCTCGCTTGCAAATACAAGCCGAGCTGATGCCTGCCCTTTGTCTTTCAGAAAAGCATCAAAATGTCAGGGGTGAAGTTCCCACATTGCCATACATGATGTAAAAAGCCGTGCAAAGAAACAGAGTGAACTATTTTTTTTTTTTTTAATAAGAATTTCTCCAAAGGGAGATATATCTTTCCAACTCGAATAGCAACACTTTGATCTGGCGATGTGTGAGCAGCCACTCGAGATCAGCTTAATTGTCTTGGAAATAAAGGTCATCGTTTGTGGTCATTGTCCTCATTTGCTCAAGGCCCTCTGTTTGTGGGCCTTTGGTGGTGCACGCAGTGATCTTGTGTTTGAGGTTCCGGAGAGGTCAAACCAAGACCTTTCACACCTGCCACGCTAAAAGCCCAGGGTCAAGCGATAACCGGGGGGGGGCACAGCAGCCCTGGATAAGAGCTTTAAAAGATAAGTGATGAATCTGCTTGTAACATGTGCAGCTCTTCGGGGGTTGGGGGGGATGGCAGCGTAGATAGGGCCGAGATGAAAGTCCTCTGAACATTCACTAATGCAATTGTTGTCTTATCTGCAGAGCGTTTACAGACATTTTAAATGCATTCTTTTCCCCCTCAACAC